CCCCCTCTCTCTCTCTCTCTCTCTCTCTCTCTTTCTCCCTTGAACCTGCTTAATTCAGAACATTTTTATGATATTGGTACCAGTTCATCAAAGGTGTATTATCCAGATTGCATACCAAATAAACTTAAGATGCAAACTAGAAAACTTTACAATGAGATATCAACCTGTAGAATTGGCTCCTGTTTAAGCGTAATTATAAAAAGCATCTCAAAAATGCTTTCAGTTGTTAAACAAGATTTGGGGCAGCGAAAAGTTGCCAATGTTTTTAATTCTATTGTTAAAAAGTTCAAAGGACTTTTCCAAAACCTGATGGGAAATAGCGCAGATATTTTCGGTATTGAGTATTTTTTAGATTTTGCAGGTATTCGACATGGTACCGACTTGAAATTCTATAAGTATAAGTTTAAGTAGTATATCTCTTCGGTTAGCCAAGAATCAAGACTGTGTTATTGTATAGATTTATTTCAGCCTTTTTCTGTCATGTATACCTCCATTTCAAGTTTCTTTTTGAGGATGACTAAATTGCATCGGTCCATTTATATAAGGCCGTTAATATATTTACTTATTTAAAATAACAAAACGAATAAAACTGCAATGTCCAATCTCAACACAGACGAAAAGTCCAATCTCAACATAGGCACAATGTCCAATCTCAACGAGGGCTGAATCTACGAACTGTAACACTGTCTATCAATGCTCCTTGGGACGCTTGGGTCGGGATCTAAGAATCCAAGACAAAAACAGGTCAGGTCCGGGCGTAGCACCAGGGCCTCAGTGAGGAACTTGTCCAGGGTCCATCTTTTGTCGGGGTCCGGACGAAGAAGTTTCTTCAACAAGGGAGCATACTGCGGGGGGATGTTGTCTAGGTGATCCAAAGGCTTGTTCTTGACTGGACACAGACCAGACAGTACCTGCCACATGCTGACAGCCAGGCTGTAGGTGTCCAGTTGGAATGGACAGAAGGGACCACCCTCCTGGTCCGCCTCGGGTCCCCGGAAACCAGGCGCAGCTGTCCACGTGTCCACCTTGTCACTTCCCTTTGGGAGTAGACTCGCAGCGCCAAAGTCAGAGATGAAGGCGACGTGAGAGTCAGTGAGGAGGATGTTCTGTGGCCTCAAGTCCTGATAATAAATCCTCTTCTTGTGCAGTCTTCGTAGAGTCACCGCCATCTGGGGGAGTCAAAGGAAGGGGAGATTTTGTTAGTGTTTGGTTTTAACTTTATAATTCAAGTTCTTTTTTAACATTAAGGG